GGGGCTGGGAGTCTGGACCCCTGGGTCTGAGGGAGGAGGGGCTGCGGGCCCGGACTCCCGGGTCTGAGGGAGGAGGGGCTGGGAGTCTGGACCCCCGGGTCTGAGGGAGGAGGGGCTGGGAGTCTGGACTCCTGGGTCGGAGGGAGGAGAGGCTCATGGGCACATGAAATCCCCATACCTTAGTGAGGGCCGGGTTGGGCTCAGAGAAGTCCCGGCCTGCGATTCCCTGAAGGTGATTAAGCTCGAGCAGCCGGCTCCGTTCCTAGGAGAGGCAAGTTATCACCGAGGACCACACCTCAGAGTCCAAACGGGCCACCCCAATGCTCTCCCTCATACCAGCAGACGTGGGGGTGCAGGGAAGCAATGGGATGCCGCAGGGGGCAGTGAGGACAGTAGGACAGGTCTCCCAGGGGGAGCTTACCTTCGTCAGGGCCTGAAGGGCCTCCTCCTTCTTCCGGTTCAGCCCCCGGCTCTCAGCTGCCATCTGCTCCCCCAGTGACTTGAGCTGCTCCTCCAAGACCTGGATGCGGCGCTGCAGGGCACCCCCAGTGCCTGGTTACTCAGGGTCCCAGGGTCCCCGGCTGGCTCCCACAGAACCAGGTCCTCCTTGAGAGCCTGGGGTTTGTTCCACCCCATAACAGAGACCCTGGAATCTGGGCGCCTGGGAGGGGGTAGGGGGACTCAAAGTCAAGCTCCCTGGTGCCTTCTTTCCTCTTGGGGTCCAGAAGAGACCTGGGGTGGGTTGGAGGGGATGGAGGATCCGATATACAGACAGAGACCCAGAGAGAGTCACTGAGAACAGAGAGGGAGAGAAAGGGACAGACAGAGAGACAAACCAGAATAGATACAGAAAACAAGGACCAAGACAGACCCAAGAGACAGAGGTGCACAAAAAGGAGACAAAACAGAAACAGAACAGAGACAGACAGAAGCTGTGTGAGACAGAGGAAGGGAAGAGAGAGGGTGATGGGAAAAGAGTCACAAACAGAAGTGGGGAAAGAGACCCACATCAGAACTTTCTAATCCAAAACTCTGGGAAACTTTGCATCAAATACAGTTAAACGTCTTGCTTTTTCCAGCAGGACTTGTCAGACCCTCAAATAGCAGCTCCCAGAAAGGACCGGTGGGAGCATCTTTTTGGAGGAAGGTTGAGAGGCATAGAGTGTAGCAGAGAAGACCGAGGAGGTTCAGATCCCAGCTCTGTCCTTTAAAAGGAAGTGACCTTGGAAAAGATCATTTGAGCACCTCGACCTTCAGTGTCTTCGTTTACAAAATGAAAAAAAATAATACGACTCGCCTCCTAGGATTGTTGCAAGGATTCAGTGAGTAAGTACTCACGAAATGTTTAAGACCACGCCTGGCACATAGTAATTGCTGGACAGATGTCAGCGATGGTTGTGGCTGTTCTGAAGAACATGCTACAGGGTGGAAGTGAGGATGGAGAAAGGGCCAGACACGGGGTGGAGGAGACAGAGGGCAACAGCGAGGGAGACAGGGCCGCCCAGCCCGACTCACCCTGTGGTGCGCCACGCTGGCCTGAAGCTCCTGGACCTTGGGGTCCGGCGTCCGGGCCCCGGGGCTGTCCTGATCCTCCTCCTCCCGCCGGCTCTCCCGCTCCAGCTGCTGGAACTCCAGGTCCTCGTAGGCACGCTGGGCCACGTCCAGCTGTTCCCTCATCTGTGGGTGGGAACGCAAAAGGGCTGGAGGCCTGGACCCCTAGAGCCCAGGGGAGCAATGGGCTGCAGCGAGGAGTCCAGGTCAATGAAGGAGGAAGGGGCTGGGCCCTGGACTCTGGAATCCTGAGGGCTAGGGGACTGGGGTCTAGAATCCAGAGTCCTGGGGGTTAAGGGGGTTAGGGCCTGAACTCCTAGGTGGGGGAGGAGGGGACTGAGGGCCTGGGCGTCTGGGTCCTGAGAGAAGAGTAGCCTGGACACCAGGTCCCTGAGGGAGTCCGGAGGGCCCTCACCTCCTGCACCCTCTGCAGAAGCCGCTCACGCTGGTCCTCTGGCTGTGAGTCGAGCTGCCCCTGGGCCTCCCGGAGTCTCTGGCGAAGACCCTCCACGCGATCACGCTCCTGGCTCAGTCGCCTCTGCTCCTGAAAAGAACAGCCAGGCTCTTAGCTTCAGCCTGAGCACAGGGAGGGCAACAGAGGCCAGCAAGGGCCCGGCCAGCTCCATGAGGACAGGGACCCTGTCTGTCCGGGTCACTCTTGTACAGGCCTGCCCCAGAGTAGGCACCAAGGAAACAGCTGTTTAAGAAATGAAGGAAGCTGGGCCGGCCCCACGGCTTAGCGGTTAAGTGCACGCACTCCGCTACTGGCGGCCCGGGTTCGCATCCCAGGCGTGCACCAATGCACCGCTTCTCCGGCCATGCTGAGGCCTCATCCCACATATAGCAACTACAAGGATGTGCAACTATGACATACAGTTATCTACTGGGGCTTTGGGGGAAAAAAAAAAGGAGGAGGATTGGCAATAGATGTTAGCTCAGGGCTGGTCTTCCTCAGCAAAGAGAGGAGGATTGGCAGGGATGTTAGCTCAGGGCTGATCTTCCTCACAAAAAAAAATAATAAAAAAAATTAAAAAAAAAGAAATGAAGGAAGGAATGAATGCAAAACATATCCATGCTGAGTGATTGAGACTAGGGCCCAGAGGGGGCCCTGCACCGCAGGTGCAGACACAGCCAGTTACAGCCTGGGACAATCAGGGCAGTGAAATCAGAGACTGCAGGAACCCTGAGCGGGGAGCAATTTCCAAGGGGTAATCCAAGGCTTCCTGGATGGGAGGGTTTTAAGGTGAGCCTCAAAAATCAGGGAGCATTTAAACCTGGGGACATAGAGGGGGCTGGAAGGGCATTCTGGGCAGAGGGAACAGCATGTCGAAAATGCACCATGAAGTTGAAAAGTACAGGAAGTTTAGGGGGCAAACTCTGGTCAGAGAAGATGTGGTGGAGGGAAGAGATGGGGAGCCTGGTGGGAGATGATAGTAGAAAGGCGGGCACAACACAGTTCACATCGGGTTTGGTCAACCAGGCTGAGGAGCCCTTATCCTGGGGCAATGGAGAGCTGTGGAAGGACTGAAAGGATGGAGTAGGATCTAGGTGTGGAATCATCCCTCTGGGAGATGGATTCAAGGGGTTAAAATCAGCTCTTTCATGAGTCCTCCAAGCAATGAGAATGAGACCTAAACTGAGGTCTGGACAGTGGGGATGCAAAGGAGACGGACTAGAGAGAGAGGTTCAGGGAGCAGAAAGACAGGACATGTTGACTGACAGGCTTGGAGTGAGAGAGAGGGAGGTGTGTGGAGCAAAGCCCAGGACTCCAGCCTGGTGACCAAAGGGACAGTGAGATAGGGACAATGTGGAAAAGGGAGTTGCCGAGGTCAGCTTTGGATACCATGAATGATAAGGAGTCAGATTCCTGGGACCGAGGGAGGAGGGCTGGACTCCTGGGTCTGAGGGAGGAGGGACTGGGGTCTGGACTCCTAGGTCTGAGGGAGGAGGGGCTGGGGGCTTGGACCCCTGGGTCCTGGGGCAGGAAGGAGCATCCAGGAACCAGTATCCTAGGAAGCAGGACGCACAAGTCTAGATCTCTGGAGAGAATCAGGGCTGGGAGAAATACCGGCTCTATGAGGGTCAGTGAGGACCCAGAACCCAGCTCCAGGAAATTCCAACATACAAGATAAGGGCAAAGAGAAAGACTGATAGAATTACAAAGTTACCATTTTCCAACCTATAACGATACCAATGGATATTGAAGCCTTTAGGTAAACAATTATTAAGAAGGGATCAGAGTGACCTCACTGAGGTCTGGACAACCAGAGACGACGTCCTCCTGACACAGGAAGCACTAAAGCACATCTGAATCTGATCCAGCCTCGACATCTAACCAACACCTGCTGGCAGGAAGAGGCACACGGCAAAGGACACCACAGGCACCCAGCCGGCCCCTTCTTGACAGGGCGACAGAAGACTTGGTTTCTCCAACAAATAGTATGGGGGAAAAAAACAGTGGGCAGGAACCAGGAGAGGTGCACCAACACACACAAGACATTTCAACCAATTACAATATACCCACCTTTGGGGACTTGATGCAAACAGCCACTGTTAACTGGCGTTTTTGAGACAATCTGGAAATCATGAAAACTAACTGGAAATGAGATGCTATTAAGAACTTAATTCAGGGCCGGCCCCGTGGCGTATTGGTTAAGTGAGCACGCTCCGCTGCTGGCGGCTCCGGGTTCGGATCCCTGGGGCAGACCGATGCACCGCTTGTCAGGCCATGCTGTGGCGGTGTCCCACATAAAGTGGAGGAAGATAGGCACAGATGTTAGCACAGAGCCGGTCTTCCTCAGCAAAAACAGGAGGATTGGCAAGGATGTTAGCTCAGGGCTGATCTTCCTCACAAAAAAAATAAATAAGAAGAACTTAATTCTTGATGACAACATAGTAATAATGTTTTTATCTATAAGATAAAGCACTTACAAGCAAGATGATGTCTGGGATTGGCTTTTAAAACTAGGGATGGGAAGCAAATTGGGGGATATGAAACAAGAACGGAAGATTAATCTTGGCTGAGCCGGTGAGCACACCACCCAGCAGCCTTCTGACTATTCTATTTTTGTTAGTGTGACGTTTTTCACAACATGACATTTAAAGAGCAAAGAAGAGAGGGCAAAGGAAGAGGCCCGGGTGAGCCAGGCCCCAGAATCACGGTCAGGGAGAGAGAGGAAAACAAGGAGAGGCATCTACCCCCGCCCCAGTATCCCCATTCGGGGAATGGGGATAACCCTGGGGCCCCGGGCCCAGCAGCACCACCAGGAATCTCCGTCCGACAAGGAAGCTGACACGAAGACCAGCAGGACAAACACCTGTTCCCGCTGCTCCCGGGCGCCCTGCTCCGCGTCCACCTGCTCCACCTGCTGCCCCAGCAGCTCCCGGAGCTTGTCCTCTTCCCGCCGAGCGGCCACTCGCTCCCCAGTCAGCTCACCCCGCAGCAGGGCCACTTCCACCTCCATCTGCGGAGAGAATGCGAGGGCTGGGGCCCAGAGGCCTGGGTCCGAGGAAGGAGGGGGCTGGGGGCTCGGCCGCCTGGGTCTGAGGAGGGGCCTGGGAGCCTGGGGCCAGACTTCCCATAGGTCCGCAGCCTCACCTCGATCCTCAGCTCCTTCCTCTGGCGCTGTAGCTCCTTCACTCGCTGCTCCATCAGGGCCACGCGAGTCTGTGCCTCCAGCTGCTGCGCTCGAAGCCGCCGCGCCGCCCCTCGCACCCCTTCTCCAGATTGGGCGGATGCGGGGGGCGTGGCCGGGATCTGCACGGGAGACGGAGCCTCCGCCTGAGGTTGGAGAGGGCGTGGTCAAGTGGAGGGGCCTCGCCCCCTGCAGTCACTAAGAGGTCTGTTGGCCACCGCATACCCGCTCAGGGGGTCTGAGTCGGCCTAACTCAACCACCACGCTCATACTCAAGGGCGGGAGGGTGCAGGTCCGGGGCCACCGGCCCCAGGAGGCCCGGGGGGCTCGCAGTCCGGGGAGGGGTACAAGCCGGCTCAAGAAAGGCGTTTTTCTCCATCCAGGTCCCATTCTCTTGGTGTCACATCCTCCTAGGCCCTGGACCTCTCTCTTTCTCCCCGGGTCTCTCTGAGTCTCTCCTCCTGTTTCTCTGGGCTTCGTCTCTGACTCAGTATCTGTCTGCTGTCTCTGCAACGCTAGGTCTCTTTCCCCCTCGGAGGATCTCCCTCTCTCAAGGTTCTCTGTCTCTATTTCTGTTTCTCTGAGCATCTCCGCCCTTTGTCTCTGCGTTTCTGTCTGTGTCTCTATTCCCATCTCTCTGAGTCTCTCTCTGTCTGGTCTTTCTGCGTCTCTGTCTCTTTGGGGTCTGTGTCTCAGTCTCCCTGTCTCCAGGTCTCTGTCTACCTGGTCTCTCTAGGTGCCTCTGTCTCTCTCTCCGTTTGGATCTCTGACTCGCAGGAGTCTCCATATGTCTGAGGCTCTCTCCCTGTCTCCAGGTCTCTGTCTACCTGGTCTCTCTACAGTTCTCGGTGCCTCTGTCTCTCTCTCCGTTTGGATCTCTGACTCGCAGGAGTCTCCATATCTCTGAGGCTCTCTCCCTGTCTCCGGGTCTCTGTCTACCTGGTCTCTCTAGCTGTCTCTCGGTGTCTCTGACTCGCAGGAGTCTCTCTCTATCTCTGAGGCTCTCTCCCTGTCCCCGGGTCTCTGTCTGTCTGGTCTCTCCATACCTGTCTCTCCGTGTCTGTCACCCGCTTGGGTCTGCCTGCCTCTCTGGGTGCCCCCGTGGCCCTGGCCCTCCAGGTCCCTCACCGCGTCGCGGCTGCTCTCCGTGCTGCTGCCTTCTCCCACTTCTTCCTCTTCCTCCGCCTGCTGCTCGGCTCCTCGGCCGCTCGGAAGCTCCGCCGGGGCCTCGGGCGCCTCCTGCTCGCGGGGCTCCTCGGGGTGCTCCCGGGACTGGGCGGCCCCTTGGGGCCGGACCTCCACGTCGCATTCCGGGACCGGCGGCGGCTGGGTCGCCTCTTCGGGGCTGCTCGGCGTCCCCATGGCCGTCGAGCGCTCGTGCGGAGTGGGCGGGGCCCGGAGTTCCGGGGGCGTGGCCTGGGGCGAGGGGCGTGGCCCGAGGCCTGAGCGCGCGCCCCACGGCTCCGGCGTGGAGTGCTCCAAGAGGCGGGGCCTAGGAGTTCAAAGGCTGGAGCTGAGCATCCCGGGGGCGTGATCTGGGGTTTCTAGGGGCGGGGTTCGGCGGCTCCTAGGGCGCCACGCCCCCGGAGGCGGGACCAGAATTTGAGTCCGGGGTCCTAGCACGCCCCCTACCGGCCTCTCCCACCTATCCGGGTGTCGAGCCTTGTACAGTCCGGGCAGCCCCTTACAATCCCTTCGACCACCTTACAGCGACCCCATATCGTTTTCCCTCGAGGACTCAGGAGTCCGGGCTCCCGCCTCCTCCTCTCCGTGACCCGGTAGACTTGGCTCCGACCCCAATGTAGGGGAGCAGCGCCCATGCCGCCTCACCCGGGGGCTCCTAGTCTCCCCCTCTCTGGACCCACCAGGAGTCTGAGTCCTCTGCTCCTCCCGGGAGCGAGATTCCCGAACTCCAGCCTCCTCCTAACCCGCGGACCCCGGCGGCCGAGTCCCCAGCCCCCGCCGCCTCCGCACCCCCGGCCCCCTCACCGGCTCGGCGCGCTGCTCTCTGCGCTCTGGGCGCTGCAGTGTCTGCCTACGAGACAGGTGGCCGGGGAAGAGGGAGGAGACGCTGCTCTGTCCCCCTCCCCAGCAGCCCGGAAGTGGAGGGGGGACAACAGGTCCAACAGCTCCCAAGGGAGGAGGGAGCGACCGGCCTGCCCCGCCCGCGGCCGCGGCATCCGGCTGTCCGGCCCCACCGGCCCCACCCTCGGGAAACGCAGCATCGCGACCCCCACTCTGCCTCCAGCGCCTCCATTCCTGCCCCCTGGAGGGCCAGGCGTCTTGGTCACCTATGTATCAGCGCCTCACTGATGCTCAGACGCTGGGAATCCTGAAAGGATGAGAGGAACAGAAATAGGGGCCTCTCCCCTCTAATAAGCCCTTTAGAAGGGCCCTGACCGGTTTGGGGAACTGGGCAAGGGGAAGGGGTGCCCTGAGCTGAGTCAAAGACACGCCCAGAGACAGGGGCAAGTGTGGCCCCCCCACTTTGCTATGGGGTGAAGGGCAGAGGTTAAAGGTCTCAGCCAGACCCCTTCCTCTCTGGGCAAAAACAGGAAAATAACTGGCATGTGAGAAAGGATTATTGGATTTTAGGAGCTGTGCTACACACATTATACACGTTAATTTAATTTTGTCCTCATGGCCAGCGAGAGATTTTTATCTCCACTTTATAGTTGGGGAAACTGAGGCTGAGGGAGACAAGTGTGCCCAAAGTCTACACGTTGTTAATGTTAATCCCAGATTTTGTTCTCTGGAAAATCCATGTTCATAACCATTAGGCATTCTGTCCCTCTAAGCCAGGAAGTGCCTGGAAGATCATCCCAATGATAGTAACAATAGTTAACACCATAGAAAGTCCACCAGGCAGGCAGTGGGCCAGGTATCTCATACATATCGACTCATTGGATCATTACAACACCGTACAATTGTTACTAGTATTTCCATTTTACAGACGAGGAAACTGCGGCCTGGAGATGTGAAGTACCTCACCCTGGGTCTCACAGGGGGAAGCGGCTCAAATTCAAGATGGAGTTCTAATTTTTTATTTATTTATTTATTTCCCCCAAAGCCCCAGTAGATAGTTGTATGTCATAGTTGCACGTCCTTCTAGTTGCTGTATGTGGGACACAGCCTCAGCATGGCCGGAGAAGCGGTGCGTCGGTGCGTACCCGGGATCCGAACCCGGGCCGCCACCAGCGGAGCGCGCGCACTTACTGCTAAGCCACGGGGCCAGCCCTCGAAATGGAGTTCTAATCCAAGATGAGAAGGCCTGCCCCAAAGATCTGTTTGCTTCCCATCTTGTGAGTTAGAAAATCTCCTCCTTCCAGGTGCTCTGGACCTTCACCTTGGCCCACTCCCTGGTCTCTCCAGGGACCAGAACTAGCCCCAGGCACCTCAGCCCAGAAACCCACCTGGTTCCCCAGAAAACAGACAGAAGACAGATTTGGAGCAAAAAAAAAAAAAGATTTTTATTTAAGAAGTTCGAGGGGCTGGTGAGGGAGGGGAAGAGGAGAGAGGCTCCAGTGATGAAACCTCTCCCCGCACCCCACCTAGTGCATTCTTAATGGATATGAGCACCAACAGAGACCTGGTCAGGAAGGGGGTGTCTGGACCCCACAGCGCAGGTTAGCTGGAACAGCAACGTCTGAAAGGAAGAAACCAAGGGTGAAACTAGGGCTCCCCAGGAGAGCCCCTCACTGGGGACCCAGAAATCTTAAGAGCCCTTCTTCTTTGGGAAACTAGAGTTCTGACCCTGAGCCCTCTCCTCCCTCAGACCCAGGGGTCCAGGCCCCCAGCACCTCCTCCCTCAGACCCAGGAGTCCAGGCCCCCAACTGCTCACCTATCTGCTCAGGCTTGGGCAAGTTCAGGTTGTCCATGACTTTGACAAACTCCTCACAGCTGAGGGTGAGCCGAGGGTTCAGAGTCCGCTCCTCCTCCACAGTGGACACTGTGAGCCCTAGCGGCCAAGGGAAGGGGAGCATATTAACTGGTCCAGCCCCTCAGGCTTCCCAGGACTACATTTCCCAAGAGGCCTAAGGAGGCCTCTCTGGACTGGGACTAACAGGCTCTTCCCAGTATGTTCCTGAGATCCCTTTCCCTCCTCGACAGGCACTATGGGAAATGTAGTTTCCCACAGTACCCTAAGCTCTATGAGGAAGTCCCAGGAAAACTCATGCCCTCTGGAATTCTAGGAGTCATAGTTTCTACACTCAGTACACCTAAGCACTTGATGTTTTTGGCCAGAGCAATTTCTGGGAATTGTAATCTCCACGCCCCATGAGGATTATAGCAGTTTGGTGCTCCTTCTCAAATAGTAAGTTCTGTTAAGTCCCACACCTCCTCCAGGAAGCCCTCACCATGGTAATCATGAGCAGGGTAGACCAGACAGTCTCCTGGAAGCGTGAAGATCTTTTCGTGAACCGAGTGGTACAAGGTCTTAGCACAGCCTGGGGAGGCAAAGCTCAGAAGTCAGTGGCTCAAGAGGACGAGAGAAGCCCCCTAACCCCTTCCCTTAGGAAAAGTGTGGGAAGATAAAATCACTGTAGCCAAACTCTCTCCCTCATTTCTTGCCAGTACCCTTTTGTCTAGGTAGAGAAGGAGAGGAAAGGGCATTCTGGGCAGGTGGAACAGCATATACAAAGAATTGGGAATGGTAAGAAATTCAGCATGGCTGTAAATAAGGCTGGGATGAGACCCTGAAGCACCAAGGAGCTGTGCCCCACTCTGGGGATGCCAGGAAAGGGTTCTGGGCAGGGAAGCTGGACTGGAAGGTAAGAAACTGAAGACATGAGGCCAAAGAGGAAAATGGAGCCATGGTTCTGACAAGAAGCTCTGAGTCCTAAGTTGGGGCAAGGGCAAACCTCTGGAATGTTCTTCCAATCTTCATTTCAGCCTAAATCCTGCCATTTCATGACTGTGTTGGGAATGGATAGAGGGGAGATTAGGCGCCTCAGAGAGAAAAAGACAGAGACCAAGATGGAGAAATGAGAGAGGGAAGAGGAAGCAAGAGGCAGTCTGGGGATCTGGTTACCCACAGCCTGCTCATTGTGGCTCCATCCTTCCTCTCTCACCCAGCCTCACTCTCCTCCCGCAAGGCAGCTAATCCTCCCAATCTAGTGTCAACCCCACGTTCACACACACACTCAAAGGACAGCTGAACTCTGAGATTCTGAAACTAAACTCCCTTCCCACAGTGAAATTCCTGAATCTAACTGCCTCCAGAGGCTAAACCCCTAATGCAACACCCACTAAAGCTAACAATGTCCTGGCAACTAAATGGCAGTGTCTAACTGCCCCCTGGCAGCTGAACTCCTGAATCTTCCACAGCCAACCCCCTTATGGACTTTTAAAATATGTCCACAAACTCTTTGACACTCTTCTCTTCAAAATGTGACGCTTAATTCCCCTCACCTCGACTTAGTGGTCTGGACTAAGTGACTTGCATCTAATAAATAGGATATTACAGAAATGACAGAGTTTAACTTCTGAGAGTAGGCTATTAAAAAAAAAAAAAAAAATTAGGAGGTCCCGTCCGGTGGCGTAGTGGTTAAGTTCAGCGCACTCCACTCCAGCAGCCTGGGTTCACAGGTTCGGATCCCAGGTACAGACCTCCACCACTCATCAAGCCATGCTGTGGCGGTGACCCACATTCAAAATACAGGAAAGGTGGGCCAGCCCTGTGGCGTAGCGGTTAAGTGCACGCGCTCCACTGCTGGAGGCCCGGGTTCAGATCCCGGGCGTGCACAGATGCACCACTTGTCAAGCCACGCTGTGGCAGCGTCCCATATAAAATAGTGGAGGAAGATGGGCACAGATGTTAGCCCAGGGCCAGTCTTCCTCAGCAAAAAGAGGAGGATTGGCATGGATGTTAG